GTGACTGTCCACTCTTGATGCAGTGCCAACGGATGAGCACTTCACTGACAAATCAGATCCGGTACAAGGACCAACACGTAGGTGGTGTGCTCCTCGATCCTACTCGTGGCAATGAGTCAGGCAACTCGATCATCTCCTCTGCTCTTTGGTATGTTAGCACCGCTTGCTTGATCAACATTGTACCCTCTGGTCGAATACTTTCTCCTGGTCACTTTGAACTGACCGGCCATTCATCACCTTCCGGCATTTTCATTGTCAATCGACCCTCATCTGCAGGTTTCTTTTGGAGCCAACCGAGTACTTTAAGGTATCTTCTTTTTTTGTCATGCTGGATGACACATTTTTTTAATCGAAAGCCCGAAGGACTTCAACATAGCTTCCTCTCTTGTGGGTTTCTTTCCGCTTTCCATCACAGTTCCCTACTCAATTCAACTGAAATGTTGGAAATTTTGAAATGGTGATGAAAAATCCCTTATTGTTCCCTATTTATAGGGAATACAAGCACAAAAGTCCAAAGAGTTCAATTATTAGAAAATTTTTTATGCAATAAATTAGTCAATTTATGTATTTAATTCTTTTTATTCTTATTGTAGTTGTCGCTTTCAAGAAGTAAGAGATTCAAAAACTAAATATGTATATAAAAATATGACCATACAAATCTCGAGGAGATTTAATGGCTCTCACTGAGTAGACACCAAGGGCTTGCATCGGAACCACCAACCAACCAAATGAAAGCTTTGTTGAATGAAAGAACAAGTAGCATCAAATCCAAGGGCAGAAAGCTAAAGCTAACTCCCTCAAATGATTTTGAGATTCTTCTTATAAATGGTCAAAGGCACCCTAGAATCTTTCTAACCCTCTCAGAATGTCCGTTGTCCAAGAAGAGTTGTTCGTCAAATCATGATGATACACCTACTGCCTGATGGTCCAAGTTCATCCAAATGATAAGAGGGCCTCCTCTACTGAGGATTATCTCAAGGAGTCCGATTGAAAACCCTTTAGCCGATTGAAGTCCCTCTAGTCGGTCGGTTGATTATCAGATGACCGAATGACAACACCAGTAGGTCATTAAGTGCTTTCCTTTTTAGAAATTACAAATATGGAACAATGCCAGTGTGAGTTATGGATCCAAATGTCAGTTACAAATATGAAGAGGTGCATTAATCACTTGTAACATTTCTATTAAAACAAAGACAACTATGCAACTTATTAGACACCCTATGATCTATAAATAGGGGGGGGGGGGGGGGGGGGGGGTTCTTCTGAGGGGGGGGGTGGGGGGGGGTCATTTCTTCAGGAATGGAGCACTAAACTTTGACGATCAGATGACATTAGATAGAGAATTAGGCAAAAACACCTATATGGTGATGGACAAGTAATAATGCTTAGACAATGGTAATTGAATATTGATAATGATTAGACTAAAGACATAAAATAACTACTAAAAACACAATTTGAGGTTGAAGATTACTGGTGGTGATCATCATTATTGAACATCTAGTTGAGCTCTAAAGTTAGTTTATATTTTAAGCTCTCTCCAATTTTCAAGAAATGTCCAAAAATACATCATGTGAAAAATAAGAGTTTATTTATAGTTTTGCAGAGTGAAAGTTGTTAATTTTAGAAAAATCTCAAAACAATCCATCAAATGATGAGAGTTAATTTTCTTGATTTTGAACGATTCTTTTGAGCCTTCAAGTGATTTAACAACCTCAATATTGAATGGTCTTAAGCTCATTATATTCTTATCATTGAAAAGTTCATCACGCCTGCATACACAATATTTAAAAATCATTTGTTATTCAATTAATGTTGCAAAGTTTCCAATCACTTTCCAATTGTTTGATTTAGGATTATTAGGATTAAGATTGAGACACTTTTGATCTTGTTAGGTTTGTCTTATTAAGAAGCTCAACTTGATTATAAATTTAGTTAATCTTAGAAGTCTTTTGCATCGAAAATTGTGCTTGTTAGGTGATTTTTTTATGAAGTATCAACTTTACTAAAGTGAAGTATGTGTACATTTTATACATATATTTTTAAACGTTTGACTAAAATTTTAGGTAACTAGATTAAAATTTTACATAACAGGCATGCAAATATATAAGAATTCTGTGGAGTTTTGTGATATGACGGTAAATTACCCTTATAAATTTGCTATTTAAAATATGATAATTATTAAACATTTCATATATATATATATATATATATATATACACACACACACATATGCCATGATGTAAATAAATATAGTAGAATGGAGGTCGTGTTATCAATAGTCTCCATGTGTCAAGTGGGCCCCACCGTTTTTAACACTTACCAATATAAATGCATTGCGGTGAGAACCATTTGACACGTGACACACGTCTTGAACCCGAATGTAATATTTTTTTTCCGTGCTAAGATGATGTGCGCAAGCTCTCTAAGAGGAGCATTTTATATATATATAATGTATTTAAGATGTATTCACATAAGTACATTCGTCCACATGGCAAAATCTGAGTCAAATAAATAGCAAATTTCCTTACCACTTTCATGGTCATATGAATCACACATAGCCCACTTGTCACACACATCTCACTCCACAACCGGGACTATGACAACGGACTTGACGCTCCATTCTCTGAGATTAATACAAAATTATATTCCCACTATCTAGCATTAACGTGGTTATGTGCTAAAAAATTAACAATGATAAAAATTATAAACCTTAGCACAGTATAATCTTCTAGCAAACATAAAAAAAATATAAGAGATAATCATATGTTTTTAATCTGCTAGAAAATTGAAATTATAAATATCCATATTTCTCATGAATTAGGAAAGATAAGATAACAAAAACTATCGATCTTAAATTTAAAATCATAGATTGACTACAAAAGCCTTAATTAGATTGCAACAACTGTTGTTAGTGATTATAGAAACAATGACTATTATAGTTGGCTACAAAAATTGTAGCTGGTAGCAACATTAAGTATACTTGACCAAAAAAATTGTTGGTGACAGTCGACAACAGTTGATGATCATTCACCTGCACTTTTCTTTACGAGTAATGCTTTAGTTATCAGCCCACCCTTCTCTTCCCCTCCATATTTAGTGAAGAATAGAGATCTATTTATAGTTTTTGATACAAGTTTTTCGATAAATTTAATTATCAAAATACTCCATTGAATGGTCCATATTAATTCATTTTATCACAAATCATTCTTCAAAATTTAAGTTCATTAAAAATCTCAAAATTAAATGATCGTAAACTCGTTAGATTTCTCTCAATAAGTTGCTCAATTTGACTGTAAGCATGCCAAATTTTCATATCATTTGATTTTTTAATTAATGCGCCAAAGCTTTTAACTGCACTTCAAGTTTTTGTTCTAGGCATTTTTAAATTCAAATTATATCACTTTCAGTGTCATTGTGCTTGTATTATTGAGATATTGACTTTGAATATCGATTTATTATAATTTAAACTTAGATGATTCAAAATTTGAATTAGAAAAATCTTTTATAAAAAATGCATCGGACTTGGTATTTGATCATATAAATTTCAAACCTACAACTTAGAAGTAGTCATCTATCAATACTTCAATTTGCATTAGGATTGAATGGCATACAAATATGATATGAGAAATAATTTTAAGAAACTATATAATGCAAAAACTAAGAGACAACTACGTAGTTGGCTTGCACATCATAAATAGCTTTTTAAATTATATTTTCCATTGTTAGCATAGAGTTTTAGAAATAATTATAAGCTAACATATTTCTTAGGAACAAAATGTGAGAAATTTGTGCACATTATAACTCATTAGATAATAAGGACAAGCAAATAATTGCTCAAATTATATTTGTATTTTTAAAAGGAAAAAAAAAATGCATTAATATTTTTCAGGCCGCTAGCAATGATCGACGAATACGGACACAGAGACAAGGATAAGACACGAATACAATACAATACAACACGGTCATGTAATACCTCTATTATTAAAAATATAGGAGGCATATATGTGTGTATTATAATATAGATGGGCATTTACATACATGACCCAATTCTCATGTGTTTATATAACTTATACCACAACTTTGTTTTTAATATAAAATGTTTTCTTATTAAAGTTTTAAATTAAAGTTTATCAACATGTGAAAGGTTTTTAAATCTTAAGAGAAAAATTAATTAATAATTTAAAAATTTAAAAACTATTATGATTAAAAATGTAAATTAAATCTGCAGTTTTTTCAAAAAAGCAAATTTATTTTATGTTTTAGACAAAGATTCAAATTATGTTTAATTTGAGTTAAAAAAAAATAAAATGATTGAAAATGCGAAATTAATTTGTGTTTTTTGGAAAACGCAACTTAATTCGTGTTTTCACAAAAACACAGGGTTCGTTTGGGACAGCTTATTTAGTGCGGTGGCGTTTTGAAAACACATTTGATCTGTTTGGGCAAACTGCATTTTGGCAGCTTATATGTTTTCAAAACGATGGAAATAACTTAAGTGCTGTGACAATTTTCTGGCAATGGTCTGATTTTTTCAAAAAAAAATAAAAATTTGTAATAGCCACCATATCTAGCTTGTCAACAAATTATTTTTAATAAGCTAATCAACTGATTATTCAATAAGCTGCAGCTGCCCCGAACAGACCTGTTTTTTTCTCATATAATTTTTTTTATTTTTTAAATTTATTAATTTTTTTTTTCTATTTTAATTACTTTTAAAATCTAATTTACGCTTTAAAAGAACATAAAATTGGAATTAGAGGAACCTTTTTAAAACTTTGGCCAGCCTAATTTAACTTATATTTTCGAATTTTTTAATTTTTCTTAATTTAAGTAACCAAGCTCGTTGCATTAATTATGATTACAATTTCTTAATATATTTAATATTCGCTCCAACTAAACAGGAAATTATTTCCACCGCTTCCGAAATTATTTCCATAATTTGGCCGTTCTGCATACGCGCGGAAATACTTACATCGACCAAAGAAAAAATTTCTTCAAATCCTCACTCTTTGCTCCAACGGTCAAAACATAGTATGAGAACCATTTTACTAAACACATCCCACGGATTACATAACACATCGCAACCTGCAACCTGTTCCTACCCTTTATCCCACTCCGAATTTCAAACATGGATCCAAAAAAGACGACCGTTCCTCGAAATCCGAGCTCAACGTCTGGCTCCTCCCGCTTTGGTTGCCCTAAAAAAGGCTAAAGGGTAAAAGACCAAAGCTTCAGACTTCGCCGGAGAGATGCTCTGGGGCTAGAGCGAGGAAGACAAAGGAGTAAAGGAGCAAAATCCGTCACATAGATGGTAGCTGGAAAGGTGAAGGCGGTGATGGGGTTTCAGAAGAGCCCAGCAACGCCAAAAGTGGAGGCTTCTAGGAGATCATCTTCTTCGCCGATGACGTTCAAAGGCGTCGGCCAGATCTCCAACGGCAAGGCATCTGTTTTCTCCCGCTCGTTTGGGGTCTATTTTCCTCGTTCCTCTGCGCAAGTGCAGCCCCGTCCTCCCGACGTAGCCGAACTCATCCGCCTTGTCGAAGAGCTTCAAGAAAAGGAGTCTCGACTCAAAACAGAGCTTCTCGAGCAGAAGATACTCAAGGAGACGGTCGCCGTTGTGCCGTTTTTGGAGAAGGAGATCGCCGCGAAGAACGACGAACTGGATCGGGTTAAAAGAAGGGTTGAGGGCTTGGAGGCTGAGAATCGTACTCTGAGAATGGAGGTGGAGGCTCTACTCGCCAAGATTCGGGAAGTTGAGGAAGAGGGGAGGAAGAAGGAGGTGGAGATCGAAGGTCTTAAGCGGACAGTATCGGAACAACAGGGTGAGTTGAGGCGATTCTGTACTGGACCCGTAGAGATTAACGATTGCTCGTCATCTTCGCGGTTCCAGGGATTAATAGACGCCTCGGAGAAGTCGATTCTACTAAAAAACATTCGTAAATCCCCCAAATCCACAGACATTGCGTCGAATCCTGACGTATTGAAGCCTGATGTGAAGGATCGGAGAGGGGAGGAGAAGGAACTTGATCAGATGCATCACCAAAAAGAAGAGCTGTCGAAACCCCGCGCTCCTAGGGTTCCGAAGCCCCCTCCGATGCCGTCTACATCGTCCTACAGGTCGTCAGCGATTGCGACGACCAGAAATGCAGTGCCGCCCCCGCCCCCCCCGCCGCTGCCGCCACCTCCTCCTCCTCCGCCGCCACCTCCTCCGGCGAAGTCGGGAATTACGGGAGGGGCTGCATCGGTGAGGCGAGTGCCGGAGGTGGTGGAGTTCTACCACTCGCTGATGAGGCGAGACACAAAGAGGGATTCCGCCGGCGGTGTCGGCGATGCGCCGTCAGTAGCAAACGCTCGGAACATGATCGGAGAGATAGAGAACCGTTCGGCTCACCTACTAGCTGTAAGTTCTTAGTCACCATCGCCTGCCATTGAAGCTTCCCTCCCTTCTACGTTGTAATTAATTTACGAAACTGCCACTCTGCACTATCGCTATCGCGAACTGCTGCGAAATCTTTTGAAAATGGCGGTTTTGCCCTCGTGTGATTTTGTTCTGGTGGGTTTCCCCAATTAAAAAAAAAAAAGAACAAAATTGCTCTGCATTTTGCGTCGTTTTCGTGTCAGCCTTCCCGGCTATTTGCAGGAGTGGCCATTTCGATAAATCTGTGATTTTTATGTCTTGAAATTTGTTCCTAAGGGATCAAGGAAGTTACCCAATTAACCCCCCGAGGAGAGAGAGAGAGAGAGAGAGAGAGAGAGAGAGAGAGAGAGAGAGAGAGAGAGAGAGAGAGAGAGAGAGAGAGAGAGAGAGAGAGAGAGAGAGAGAGAGAGGTGGCTGGACTTAATTTGAGTTGTTTTTATGACGAGTAATTCAAGTTTGAAGAATAAAAAGTCGAATTATAAGAAAAATAGAAATTTGTTTTTGTATATTTAAAAATATTTTAAAAAGTATATCTTCATATATTTTAGCAATAAAAAATTATAAAAAATTTTATGTAATCACTGAAAGTATTTCTAATTTTTATGTTGCTGGTGCCGTTGTTAAAAATTATGAAAGTTATTATTAATTTTGTTGATTTTCAGTTTTACATGAGCTAAATTTGGTAAATTGCTGCTTAAAAAGATCATGTGTGAAAAAAAAACGTATCTTTTGTATAATTTAATTTGGTCTGTACATGTACACTTTGTTCGTCTTGCTGTTTGTGGTTGATTTAAGGGATTGGAAAGTCCTGAACCATTTCTTTCTGTTTTCGGTCTGCAGATCAAGACGGACGTGGAGACGCAGGGCGATTTCATAAGGTTTTTGATAAAGGAAGCGGAGAACGCTGCATTCTCCAACATCGAGGATCTCGTCTCCTTCGTCAAATGGCTAGACGACGAACTCTCCTTTCTGGTACTTCAAAAACATACAACAGCTTTTGATACAATGGCTTGAAGTAGTAGCATAAATGGCACAACAAAGTGATATGAGATTGGGGGAATGGTGTGATACAGGTGGACGAGAGAGCTGTTCTGAAACACTTCGATTGGCCGGAGGCGAAGTCGGATGCCATGCGGGAAGCTGCGTTTGGTTACTGCGATCTTCGGAAGCTGGAGTTGGAGGCTTCCTCCTTCTGTGACGATCTTCGGCAGCCCTGTGCTTCCGCCATTAAAAAGATGCAGAGCCTTCTGGAAAAGTACTTCGGAAGTTCTTTATTATATATATATCTTTTTGTTAGGGTTTTAGCGAAAGTTTTAACAATCTTTGATGATGATGTTATTGTTGTCGATATGCAGATTAGAGCATGGGATTTATAGTCTTTCGCGCGCGCGGGAGGGGGCCATGGAGCGTTACAAGAATTTCCAGATCCCATGGGACTGGATGCTTGATAGTGGAATTGTTAGCCAGGTCAGTAACCAAATCTTGATCTTCTTCAACCTTTACTGATAATTGTGTATTTAATACTACAAACTTGCTGCTTTTGTTTTATTCATGATGGGACATAGGATTCTGTTTGCATGTGGTGACAAAATTTACAAAAACTGCTGGACGTGGGTGGGGTTCTTTGATTTATTTTGATATTTGTGAGCATGCGATCACGTGAATTTGTCTTTGTTGTAGGACCAGGGCTCCAGGACCCATGATTTTGTCTGATTCTTTTCGTTAATTTTCTGTTGTATTTTGTCGTTAGATTAGTGAAGATTGGGCTTTGGAAGTCTTGTTGTGTGGTAAGGGTTTGTACCTTTTTGGGTTGATACTGCTGCAATTAATTGATCCTTGACTAAACTGGCGGCCATCCGTTTGTCTTGCTTTACGAGGATTGCTATTTATCAAAATTTATTGCTTTGCGCTCTATTTGGGAAAAAAAAATCTCACTGAAAATGCTTTTTTGTATGCTTTTGAAATGGAGTGATTGGATATTATACTTAGCAGTTGATTATATATATATTTTTTTAAAAATTCCTACATACACGAAGGGTTTGTTTTATTTTTTGTTAGTTTTAATGTTTTTAAAGTAATATGGAACTTGAATCTATATTTAGGGGCTCTAATCTTGTATGACGAATTATTAAATTATGAATCTTAATAATCTTCTGTTGCTTCCCTTCTAATAATCTATTCTTTTTTCCTTAGCTTTTTGGCTTACTGTTTAACCTCTATTTTTTGCATCCGTCTACTTCGAATATTCACTTTGTTTAATTTCTTTAGCCATTTTGGCTTCAGTCTATATGAAGAATGATTTAATTATGAATTAAAATTTAAAATTTTTTGTGGCTTCTCTTTTTGGGATTTTATTTCCTCTAGCAATTTTGTTTATTGCTTAATTTCTAATTCTCGCATCCTTCATTCATTTAATTTCTTTAGCCCTTTCTTCTCTTTAGCTTAATAATTTTTCTCTACTATCAAATTCTTTCAATTCTCATTGTGTTATTCATTATGAAATTGGTATATGAGCAAACCAAATATTCTCATGCACACCAACTACTTTGTCTTCTGTAGCTATCTCCTTCATTTATTAATTGCTCGACCCTCGTTCTTCTCTTCAACTCATCATTTTTGGATGCTTTCACTCTACCACTTCCAACCATTCACTTCTATTGATTTACTGTCATTGGCCTCATCATTTTGTCGATTCAGTTAGTTGAGTTTAGTTGGGTCGGCGGCTTAAATAGACTGATCCAAGATGGGCATTGGCTGAGTTGAGTTGGGTTGGAGGTTTAAATAGGCTGACCCAAGCTTAGCATGTCTGAGAATCTAGTTGCTTTAACGGTATGAGCCTGATTGTTTCCTTGGATTGAATCAACCTATCTTCTTTAATTTAGTAAATGTCATGCAAAGTCCAATGGGACATGTCAATGAATGTTATATTTTGTATTTGGGCTAGATTCTTGAAGTTTTTTTGCATTGCTATCAATATTCTAGTTGCTTTATCTATATGGGCTTGATTGTTTCCTTGGATTGAATCAACATATCCTCTTTAATTTAGTAAATGTCATGAAAGTCTGGTGGGTCATGTCAATAAATGTTATATTTTGTATTTGGGCTAGATTCCCGAAGTTTTTTTTCATTGCTGTCAATAATCAATCAGTTTCACAAGCCATGATGGCTAGACTACATGTTGTCATTGCTAGATGATAAACCATTACTCTATCATCGCAAATTTTCTTTCACGCATCAGTTTGACGTTGTTTGTGGGAAGTGAAGTCCCGTTCGACTTAGTTTCGCAAATTTTCTATCACGCATTAGTTCTGCAAATTTTTTATATGGGCTTGATTGTTTCCTTGGATTGAATCAACCTATCCTCTTTAATTTAGTAAATGTCATGAAAGTCTGGTGGGTCATGTCAATAAATGTTATATTTTGTATTTGGGCTAGATTCCCGAAGTTTTTTTTCATTGCTGTCAATAATCAATTAGTTTCACAAGCTATGATGGCTAGACTACATGTTGTCATTGCTAGATGATAAACCATTACTCTATCGTCGCAAATTTTCTATCACACATCAGTTTGACGTTGTCTGTGGGAAGTGAAGTCCCTTTCGACGCATTGTCTTCAACTCTGTGACACCGAGCACCCACTTTGTTCCCCAGTGATGTAAATCATCCAACTGGCGAAGGAACCCCCTTTACATTTTGAAGATCATCTCTGAAGCATTCTTCAATATTGGGGACAACTTTTACTGCAGTTCAAAAGGTCTTTCATTTTAACGTCCTGGGCATGATTGTAACTTGGTTGTCTTCTCACATTTTATTCAGACACAAAATTTTTCACAACTTCTTTTAGGCTGGGGGCAACCTTCACTGTAGTCTCGAAAGGTCATTCTGTTTAACGTTCCAGACATGATTGTGGTAGAGTAGTCCCACATTTCGTTTAGAAAATAAGGCTTTGAAAACCGCTCCTAAACAGGGGCAATCTTCGTCGCAAGTAATGCTTCCTCAACGCCCCCTCATTGTACTAGAGTTCTTTAACTAGATTAAGAAGCTGATCTGATCAAGGCTTGATACATGTATGTTTTACAAACTCGCATGGAAACACCCTCGTTTAGGGAAGATTCAAAAGTAGCCACTAACGAGTTTTCAAAAATTATTCTTGAGTATGACTGCAATCATATTTCCAAGAAACATATAGTCCATTATGACCTACGTCGCAGTCTCGAGAAATGCAAAACATCTCTGACACCTCATTCCAGGCTTAATCAATCCCAGAGGAACTCAATCCGACCTCTTTCATTACAGGCTGCAGTCGTCAAGCAAAAACTTCGACATACAACCTCGGATAGGTAAAAAATCTTTGGTAGATTTCCTTCGACCTTTTCTATGACAGGTTACGGTCGTTAAGAAAATGCTTCGACCAACAACTTAGGATAGGTCAACCTTCCTTAGTGAATTTCATATGACTTTGTCTGTTATGAGTTAATACCATCAATCATCTATGATTAATCAATTTAGAACTGGTTTTGCATCTTTAATGGATTCTTTTTTCAACCATGTCCCTGGAAGTTAAGCTCAAGTGACAATACTCGATAGGAAGATTCAGTGCCTCTGGAAGTTGAGCCCAAGAGACAAAATTCGATCGATGTAAAGGTACGATGCTCTTAGAAGACAAGCCCAATCCTAGAAGTCAAGCTCAAGCGGCGAAACTCAATGAGAAGATCTGATATCCCTAAAAGTTGAGCACAAGAGGCAAGATTTGATGAGAAGCTACCATGCCCCTGGAAGACGAGCTCAAGAGACAAGTTTCTAGTGGACATGATCCTCACTAGAAAGACTCCAAGAGAACAAGTGGTTGACAGGGTCCTCACCTAAATACCTCAAAAAGCTACAAGTTTCAGAAGACATAAGTATATCAAAAACCTCGGAAGACTATAAGCTTCATAAGACACATGTACATAAAAGACATTAGAAGGCTAAAGCCGCAAAATGAAACTATTTATTTCAAGCTTTTATAAGGCTTAATTCCAAGAAGGCACAACCTTGTAAGACACGAGCCTCAACAAGTCTCAGAAGACATAAGTATATCAAAAACCTCGGAAGACTATAAGCTTCATAAGACACATGTACATAAAAAACATCAGAAGGCTAAAGCCGCAAAATGAGACTATTTATTCAAGCTTTTATAAGGTTTAATTCCGAGAAGGCACAACCTTGTAAGACACGAGCCTCAAAATGTACGTGATTCATCATTTTATAAAGTATGTGTGCTAACTTTAATTGCAGAATTTCGTACAATTAAGAAGCCACAACAACCTCAGAGGCAATGTCAAAGATGTACAAAAAAAAATGCATTATCATGTTCTACAAATATCACATTAGATGATTAGAAAAACATGAAAATCTTACCCCTCAAAGCGGGCGGGAAATCTCTAGCATTTCATCTCCATCGAAATGCGTAATAGCAACAACCAAAATCTCGAGCCACCTGCTAGGAAGGGACGGATATAACTTTTATCATCTCACCGATGCGAAAGATCTTGTTGGTCACTTGTTATGCAAGACGAGAACAACTTTCTTCTTAGCTGCAATATGAAAGAGGATCCTCTTGATCTTCTGCTACACAGGACGGTGACAAATTTCTTTTGCTTCGTAACACGAAAAATGATCCCGTTACTTGTCTGCTATGCATGATGGAGACGACTTTCCTCTTCGTCGCAACGTGAAAGATGATCTCATAGCTCGTCTGTTACGCAGGATGAGAACGACTTTTCTCTTGGTCACAATGTGAAAGTTCTTGTAGCTCACTTGCTACGCAGGACAAAAATGAATTTTCTCTTCGCCGCAACGTAAAAGAAGATCCCGTTGCTTGCCTGCTACGCAGGGTGGGGATTACTTTTCTCTTTGTTGCCTACTACACAGGATGGGGACGATTTCCTCTTTGCCACAACTTGAAAGATCCCGTTCCTCGCTTGTTATGCGGGACGCAATTAACTTTTCTCTTGGCTACAGCAGGAAAGATCTTGTTTCTCGCCTGCTATGCAGGACAGACGAATTTTCTCTTGGCCGCAACATGACAAAAGATCCTGATGCTCGCCTGCTACGCATGATGGACTTTCCTCTTGACCAACATGAAAGAAGACCACGTTGCTGGCCTGCTATGCAGAAGGGAGACAATTTTTCTCTTGGTCGCAACAAGAAAGAATATCTCGTTACTCATGCTACACTAGATGGAAACGATTTTTTTTTGCCGCAACGCAAAAAATCTCGTTGCTCGTCTGTTACAGAGGAGGACAGGGGCGACTTTCTTTTCTGGAAAATTTGGCCAGCAGAAAATTTCACTCTCCACTTTCATTTTTTTCCTCCTCCTCACTTGTGGTTTTTTCCCTTGTCAATTACCTCTATTTATAGGCTTAAGAGGAGACCTAACATTAAAGACAATTATTAAAAAAAAATTAAAACCTGCATTTATTTTGT